GCTAAAATCATCAAAATGGCAAATAAAGAGAAGTACCGTTATACGGGGGCTATACGAAACTGACATGGCCCATATTACAAACTTAACCTATCTCCTGGCAAAATACACATGCGTAGAAAATATTAACCTTCCATCGCAGGTCGTTCCAAAATAGCGTGATTACAGCAGAAAGACAGACATCACCTATAAGTTTACGCTGATCCAGAATATATGTACTTTGCAGTGTCTAACATGAGTATTTCGAGGAGTAACAAACGAAAATACAAATTTAATATACCCTCCATAGAATGGTGGAGGGTATAAAAACTGAGCCGTGCTCTTAAATGGAAAAAGAGGGCCACGTTTGTTAAAGCACTTTAAATCACCGGTACGTGAACATGCTTGTGAATTGCTTTAAAAAATGGACATTAAAGACTAAAACTACGGGCCGGCAAATCGGACCGGGCCAGCTAGTATTATACATATTATAAATTTTATCATTATTATAATTTTAATTGATTGACGTTCAAACATATGTCTGGAACCATTGTTTCTTTCTAACGATATTTAAAAACTCCGGATCATACGAAAAATTAAACCTGCGAGGTTCATAAAAGAAGTATAACATTTTTAAAAATATTTGTGCCACTGGATCTAGCCAACTGTAATCGGCACTTGCAGCAAACGCAAAAGTAACACAAACGTTTACGTCGAAATTCCTTGAAAAGGAAAAGAGTGCGGAACCATATATAAAATGTTGTCACGATAAGACATCAAAATGACAGCATTCAGGGATTAAAGTGAATACCCTCGATGACACGGTGTACAAATAAATGGGCATTTATGATTGATCGATGCAAGCGGTGGAACTGAATCTAAACACAGATGATGATGTCTTCACAACTCCTATGCTCTTGATGTGTGCGGTTAGAAACAATAATAGCAACACCAGCGTGGTGTCGCTGATTACTATCAAAATCGGACTAAGGACATTAACGATTACTTTGCAGCTAGCTGGTGACATGCCATGACATGTGGTTTACAATCTTTAATGAAATCTGAGATCCACTTCAGCCATTCAGAGTAAATAAAAAACTGGCGCTATAACTGGAGTAAACAATTAAAAACTACGGCTTGACAAACACTATCTTTATTCGCCTACTCTGTGTCACGTCAATGCTTTCCAACAGCCACCATTGAGATCCATCCATCCAACCTACATGCATGCAGATGGATTACTCGCCCATAAAATATGTTCTGGATTTGGGAAGTTGATTAAGTTATCTGGCGTTAGTTATCTAGTCCATAATAAATAAATCAAATGTTACCGTTTTGTGTAAATAAACTGTAAATTTCTCCGGCTACCATTCGTGCCGATGCAGTGATGTTTGTTGACATTACTTCGTCTGCCATTGGAAACCTCCTTTACTCTCTGACACATAAATTTGGCATTTGGGTTAACTCTGATAAGAGCGGAGCAGGTACTCGTCATACTCATAGTGGCCCAAGTTTGTTTGTTTGGCAAACCCAAGTAAGGCCGATATCGTTTAGCTTGTAATACATTTAGAATGTTGATTCGACGATAGTGGTGTCTAACAAGCGAGAAAATTTAACGTTAAATCGTGCAGAAGTATGTAAGCACAACGCGTTTGATTGTTCTTTGTATGGCGCTGACTGGTTGGAGTTGGAGTATATTGCGCCACTCTTGGCTGGCTAACCCATCATTTGGAAACTCAATAGTTCATAAATCCACCGAAATACACACACAACACCACTACATAAATAAACAAATAAATCAAATCAGTCATTCAATCATCGATCGATCGATCAATCACATTTCTGTTTACCCAAATGGCATTTGAAGATTTACTAATTTCAAAAATAAACATTTCCCATTAATTTACAATGGCAAAGCACTCAAAGCGCAAGAACTTATCTGGGCAGCGCACAATTACAGTTGTCCCCATATGGTGCTGTTGAATTGAATAATTATCCCTCCAAGTAAATTATCAGTATTGAGTTTTCAAACGGATTTTTATGTCACAACATATTTAGAATTATTTGTTTCGTTGTTTGCCATCCAGCAGCAGTGGTAGTAGTATTTGTCCTGACAACATGAGTAACAAAAATTCAATTTTATCTCAAAATGTTTGCAAACAACAAATGCTATTCCAAGTGCGGTACAGTCGACTACACATAAGCGCAATTTGTTTGTGTGGAAATTATTGGTTGAAATAATATTATTTTGAAAATTGTCGAACTATAAATTATACATGTTGATCCTTAAACATGTGCGAGCAATAAATTAGCTTCATAAGGGGTTTGATTTATTTGAACGACATACCTGTCGCACATTTTCTTAAACAGTGTCACATCTCTAAAAATTCAGATTTTAAGAAAAACTAATTCACTATTCAAAGATTATCGGGCACAAATTATTAGACAATTATTTGCAAAGAGACCAACTTGAATATAAAACGAGCAAAAAAGCAGTAAATTTGGCCGGGCCAAAGTTTTAATAACCTCCACCATATGCAAGGAATTTGCAAATTTTCAAAAAAAAAATTGAAAAATACTACGAAAGTCATAAATATATAGAATATGGAGAGTTAGCGTTATATTGGGGCCTACAAAGACGTGGGCACACATAGGCAATTTTCTGTCACAGACGGTAGTACCAATTAGGAAACTCAAATACGAAATTTGAAACAATTCCAGTGAATAATGTCGTTTAAATCTTCCAAAATACCAGAGGTAGGGAGGTACTATTATATGGAGGCTATACGAAGACGTGAATCTACATAGACAATTTTCTATCACAGATGGTACTTCAAATACGAAATTTTATACAATTTCGATGAATAATATCACTAAAAAAAAGAAAAATCAAATATAGGGGGTTACCGTTATATGGCGGTTATACGAAGACGTAGACGTTTAAAATTGTGACTAAAGTAGCCAAAAAACCTTAAATCTGTCGGTGCAGTTATATGAGGGCTATACCAAATACCTGCAAAAATTTTATCGACCTACTTCATTTCGTTCGAAAGGAAGAGTGATTTCCTCAGACGGACGGACGGACAGACGGACGTCGCTAAATCGACATCGAATTCTATGCAGATCAAAATGTAGGTGTTACAAACGGAATGACAAACTTAACATACCCTCCATTCATATTATGGTTGAGGGTATAAATAAACTTTGGCAAAAATAATTAACATAAACAAACAAATTAATCAAAGAGAAGAACAGATCTCACCCACACATATACAAACATACTGTTTCTCAATTTCTTTCTAAACTCATCAATTCCTTTATAGAAAGGTTCGTTACAAGCCCTATATAAAGTCGATCAATAAGCCTATCTCCTCACTAAGTTTTTGCTGTCAAAGTGATGACAATTAACAATTTGGCTTAAAAATCGCTACAACCGCTACCCTAAACAGCCAGAGTAGCAATTTAAAAAAGAACATCGCTACAACTTTTAAACAGTGGTTTTTATGCGTCAAAAATCACCACAACTTGGCATCTTTGTTGAATGGCTCTTAAACCAATGTGCTGATATCGACTGCTCTTTTCATAACGTCCAATTTTGGTCGCGTTAAGGATTTTAGTATCTTCGGATTAAGAATAATCAAAATTGAAGACTTTGTATGACAAATATTATTTGTTTCTTTATTCTGTAAACGTATGATTCATTTTATTTTGTATGAAAACGATAGATTAAATGAGAGCGCGTGAAGTTGAAAGTTGAGTTTTTAAAGCTTCCCTATTACGAAATTTTTTACATCTTAAGCATCATTCCAAATTTTTAGGTCGATAAATACAAAGTACATACAGGCGAAATTGTGCAGATCACTACTTTCAGAGTTTCTTAAATTTAACAGTTGACAGCGAAAGGACGATCTTTGTTTTATGGTTCCATGTAAAATCAATTATTTCAAGAAGCTAGAGTACGAGTAGTTTTCAAAGGAGCAAAATAAATTCTAAAAAAAATCCTTGAATAATATTTTTTTACTCTGCCGACGCATTTTTAATGCAATGAAATAATTAAGCTTTATCTAAATGCGTGCGATGAAGATTTGTTATTTATATTGTAGCAGACCAATTGCTTTACAGAATGGTTCGAGCTGATAGTCCTTGGGCGTGTAGAACGCCGGTCCTTTTGGATCGTAGACCCAACTGTCGTGAAAACGACAATAAAGAGCATAGATTCTAGTCACGTCTTCACGAAGGAAGAGGAATAATATGGTTTTGGTTAGACATAGACAGACTGGACAGAACAAAGAGGGTGGTGGTTAATGGAATTTTTTATTAAAAATGAAAAGTTCTCAAGTTGGCGTGTTCCTTAAGGTCGATTATTTTCTTTATTTTAATATTATCCAATCGAATGACCTATCATGTTTTTTAAAGCTTTCAGTCCGTAGAAAGTTTATTTGTGGAGAAATCTATTTTGAATGTAGGTATTTACTTTCATGCTGCATGGCAGAATAATATGTATCAATCTAAATATTACAATTGCAATCATTTGAGAAAACTTCATGGCAAAAAAGTACAATATTGTTTATAATTCGGAATTCCTGTAGAAATTGTAGTAAAGTCGTTCAGTCGGCGTTCGCTTTTATTTTTATTTAAAATATACCACTCATGTGGAAAATTTATTTGAAAATGAAAGATAAGTGTCATGGGGGCTAACTTACACACGCCTAGTATCCTTTATGGCAACTGATACGCTTATTCTTTTTAATATTATCTAATTTTCCCATGAAAATAGGTAAAAATGAATGAAAGGTAAATGACGTCCATTATCGAAAGGCTTAAATTTAAGGTTCCCCTCTCTCGAAAATGCAATTTTCTGTCTAGCAAACTTTTCTATTGATATGTGTATTTTCCTTAAATCTTAATCAGTGCCAGGACACTCATTTCTGTCTCAATTCGTAATCCCGAAAACCGAGGAAGATAGCTTTGCATGCTTTACGTTTATATATACATACATATTTAAAATTTCCGTTAGCACTCACCTATTAGACGCATAACCTCGTGCAAATTTAGATAAACATTGAGATGGCCCTGGACAAGGCTACACAGAGCTAAACATAATAATCCAAGGATGGTCACTACGTGAAACATTGTCAATGTGTCAACAATTAACTGCTGTGAGTTAGTATAAATAACAATTTAATTTAAATAATTCTTTCAATTTCTTTTTTTTATGATTTATTCTTTTTTCTTAATGAAATCCTTAATGTGCTCCAAAAATATAGATTTTTATTTCGTTTCTTACAAATTTCACTTTTATGTTTATAAAAAAGACAACAAATTATTGTATTTTTGCACGTGTTGTCAACAATATTATAATTATTTTTTTTTCCTTAAGGACTCTTAATTTTTATTTTTTTTTATTATTTATGCACTTTAATCCAGTTGGTGTAATCTTCCGCTGACATTTCGAACAATGTGTCCAAATCCGTTCGAATGATACACGAGCCGTTAAAGAGATCTTTTAAGTTGTTTATTGTATTATTGATGTAATGTTACTACGGCCGTACTGCAGGCGATGGCAGTGTTAAATACGTTCGATTTAATTTTTTTGTTTGGTTTTCGTCTCCGTTGATGTCGTTAACAATATCCGAAAGAGGAGCATCATCCGAGTTTTTAATGTGCACACCGTGACGAGTTTCCAAGAACTGTCAACTGGATAAATAAACAAATCGCATCTGAGCCAAAAGATAGTCCGTCCAAGCAACCCGCTATTGAACACCACCACAACGACAACAACAAAAACACAACATAGACTGGAGCGCTTATGAAGCGCCAGCAGCATAGAAAACATTTACAATCCACAAGACATTGCATTTTGGTGGTGGCAAGAGAGGTTCCACTACACTTACCATGGGAGTATAACAGTTTCATTTCCTCTCTTGCTGGCTGGCATTCTCCTTCAACAGGCATTGTTCGTTAGTCCCCTTTGGTGCTGAAGGGGAAATCTTATATTGGCAGCATTTTACTGATTTTTTTTTCCTACATGAGCTGCCATCTGTTGGAAAATCATAGTATACTCGATATAACAGATTTTTTGTTTTGTTTTGGAATGCAAGAAAATAGGGGGAATTTCTCCCTTCACAAAATTTTAAACATTGTGGATTCTATTATAATGAAACGGATTTTCACATTTATTTCATTATGTTTTATCTCAAATGAGTCATAAGAAGGAAAGTTTCACACTTACATTGAGTTACACTCACTATAAAGGTTGAAGAAGTCTAATTGTTTAACTGTACCCAATATTGGAAAAACTTTCAAACAATATTTTTTGGAATTAATAAAAATAGTTTAGAGCAAAAAAATAAATAAAAATTAAGCCGAGCCTTGCTGTGGGATTTGAATCGCGGACCTCGGTGTGCAGCCAACTAGAAGTTGCCGTCTCAACGTCCTCCTCCAGCAGCACTATAACAAGTTTATGCATTGGAAGCAATGTGGTTGTTGTGGACAAAAAATCCATCACTACAAAAACTAACTTTGATGTGAAAAAGATTTGCCAATAGAACTTGAGTCGAACTTGGAGGGTTTCTGGTGTTTAATTCGCATATGCTTAATCGCAATATGTTCGAACGAATTACCACTTTCCAGAGAAGCGCCCTTGTAAGCCATCATCCACACCAAATATGTCTGATGAGCCAACAGCGAAACGCGTAAGCTCATCTCGAAACAGAAATAAACACATAAACACATAAAGAGGGTCATCAAAAATCTTCTTAAAAGCAAAAAATGTTCCACATTTGGAAAAATACAAAAAAAGTTACAAATGTCCGCAAAAATGTCTATTTTTTGAAAACCATAACAGATAATGCCTTCTTTTATATTGCTACTTTAAGCAAGAATGAGCTATTATTTTCCTTTAAATACTAAATTTCAGTGAAGTATTTTCTGAATAAAATACAAGAGATACTTGATCTTAAAAAAGTTTTGTCGAGATCGGTTCAGATTTGGATATATCTCCTATATATATTTCCCACATATTTGATGTAAGCAATACATCAAGAACGCTATATTTGTCCCATTAAGTAGTTTCATACGATCTTATATTTAAGTATTCCGAATGACAAAGCATGCACTCCATAACAATAATATTGGGTTCGAGAAGTCACATAAAATATAAATTTACCTCAGCCATGTTTAGTGGAAATCGGTTAAGATATAGCTTTTATAGGTTAGTTTCGATTCATGACACCTAATACCTAAATAAACACGAATGTTTATTCATTATTTATTGCTATGAATGTTTATTCGAAAAACAACCCTCAAGGGAAAACCGTCATAGGCCACTATGAACTTAAAATACGAAATTTCAAACAATTCTAATATCATCAAACTGGAAACAATTCTGGTAAATAATGCCGCTAATATTATCAAAATACCAAATAAAGGCAAGTGCGAAATATGTGGGCTGCATGAAGACGTGGACCTACATAGATAATTTTCCGTCATAGGATGTAATGGGTACTGAAATGAGAAATTTGAAACAATTGCGGTTAGTAATGTTCTTAAAATCATCAAAATACCGAATAACGTTATAAAGAGGCTATACGAACATGTAGACCTGCATATTCAATTTTTTTCATAGGCTGTAGTACCCATTACAAACTTTATATACGAAATTTGAAACAATGCCGGTAAAAATGTCGCTAAAATCATCAAAATAGCGAATTTTGGGTGGTACCGTCGTATGGGGGCTATACATTATCGTGGACCTATATAGACAACTAGCTGAACCCGGTGCGCTTCGCTACCCCTTTTGATTTTATATGCATTCAAACATTTTTTACGAATATATGTTGGTTAAAAAAAACAAATTTAAAAATTAAAAAAAATTATTGCACTACTTTAATGCGTAAATAAACCAAACCATTAGAAAAGCAGTAACATACACGAATTTATTTCATAGCAAATACCAAGCGTGCAGGAAACTGCAATTTTTTAAAGTTGAGTGGCATTTTTATTGCAATTAGTGAATTCGAGATAGCAACATACTTCGCCGTAATAAGCGTATTTCAAATTAATTGTTGTGTTGTCTTTTAGTGTTAGCATAAGGCGTTGTGGGTCAATGGTTCTTATTAAAATCATATCCCAATCTGATCCGATTTAAATATAATTTAAAAAAAATTACTTTTACACCAAATTCCGCCACACCTTTCATATTTCATTGAAATTGGTGCGTCTAATATGTGAAATCGGCCGAGAATATATATATGGGAGCTATATTCAAATCTTAACTAATTTCCAATTAATTTGTCACATTTATTATTGTAACCAAATTCCGCCACACATTCTGAATTTCATTGGAATCGGTCATATATATCGTGTTTGGTGCATAACATGTATGAAATCGGCCGAAATATATATGTTAGCTACACCCAAACCTCAACTGATTTCAATATAATTTGGCATTTTTTTCTGGTGCCAGATTTCGTTTCTCTCGCTTTGGGTGCATCAAATATGTGAAATCGTCTGAGTATATATATGGGAGCTATAATCAAATCTGAGCGTATTTGAATATAATTTGTCAAATTTATTTTTGTACCAAATTTAACCACTCATGCCGAATTTCATTGGAATCGGAAATACGTATCGTGTTTTGTGCATCAAATATGTGAAATCGGCGGAAAATATATATGGGAGCTATATCCAAATCTGAGCCGATTTTAATATAATTTGACTAATTTATTTTCTAATCCAAATCCCGTTACATATTTCAAATTTCTTTGGAATCGAACATACATATCGTGTATTCTGCATAAAATACATGAATCGGTCGAAAATATATATGAGAGCTATATCCAAATCTGAACCGATTTTAATATAATTTGACAAATGTATATTTGTTTTAATTTCCGCTACACATTCCAAATTTCATTGAAATTAGAGATACATAGCGTGTTTGGTGCATCAAATACATGAAATCGGTCGAAAATATATATGGGAGCTATATCCAAATCTGAACCGATTTCAATTTAATAAGACTAATTGATTTTGGCTCCCAATTCCGTTACTTATTTTAAATTTCATTAAAATTGGAAATACATATCGTGTTTGGTCCACCAAATACATGAAATCGGCCGAAAATGTATATGGAAGCTATATCCAAATCTGAACCGATTTCAATATAATTTGGGAAATCAATTTTTTACATAAAATCTATCACACGTTTCAAATTTCATTGAAATTGGGGATACATAGCGTGTTTGGTGCATCAAATGCTTGAAATCGGCGGAAAATATATATGGGAGCTATATCCAAACCTGAACCGATTTCAATATAATTTGACAAATTTATTTTCGGATCAAATTCCGTCACTCATTCCAAATTTCATTGAAATCGAACATTCATATTGTGTTTGAGGCATCAAATGAACGAAATCGGTCGAAAATATATATGGGAGCTATATCCAAACCTGAACCGATTACAATATAATTTGGCAAACTTATTTTTGTTCCAAATTCCGTTACGCATTCCAAATTTGGAGACTGTATCTTTAATCGATCAATAGATATGTGCATATAAAATCTAAATTTTTGGGAGGTACCTCCGATTCTGATGCTATATCTCCAGTTCCAAGTGGAAATTCAAAAATGTATATAGCCTATGTTACTTTCAGGCGATGTTGCAGTATACATGGAAATTTTCAGGAAAATCTATTCAGCGGTTTCGAGTCCATAAATTACAAACAAACAAACATACAAACATTTTCCTCTTTTATAGATATAGATTCTCTTCCAGAGGGTAAAGTGCTCAGAAGGGGCTTCTTGTTACGATTTTCAGACAATTCATTGTAAAATGTGGCTAAAATCATCAGAATGCGAATATCACGAGGTACCGTTATATTCGGAATATACGATATCGTGGAACTTTTATTTGGAGCCGTTATATGTGGGCTATATGATGACGTGGACCTACGTAAACAATTGTCTGTCATTTGTCTGTTGTATTACCTATTACGAGCTGCAAATACGAAATGTGAAATAATTCCTGTGAATAATGTTTCTAGACTCATCATAATACCGAATATCGGGATAAATCGTCATATTGGGGCTATACGAAGACGTGAACCTGCGTATGCAATTTTTTGATTGTAGCGTGATTACAACATGCGGTCAGATTGTTCCACTTTAAACTACAAATTCCACTAAAACCTTTTGGATAATGCAATTAAACTTTAAAAAAAAAAAGTAAAAAAGCTGTAAGTTCTGCTGGGCCGAACTTTTGGAACGAATTTGGCAATTTTCAAAAAAAAAATCCGTTAAAAATTCGGTTAAAATCTTAAAAATACCGAATGTAGCCATTAGGGTCTATACGACGACGTGGACCTGCATAGGCAACTTTTGTCATAAGCCATTACAATATTCAAATGCGAAACTTGAAAACAAATTCTGTCAATAATTTCGCTAAAATCATCAAAATAACCAGTATCGGGAGGTACTGTTATATTAGGGATATACGAAGACGTAGACCTGGATACAAAAGTTTTGGTTATAGGCTGAAGTACCCATTACGAACTTCAAATACGAAATTAGAAATAATTCCGGTGAATAATGTTGCTGAAATCGTCAAAATACCAACTATCGGGAGGTACCGTTATATGGGGGCTATACGAAGACGTGGACCTGCATATAAAACTTGTTGTCATAGGCTGTAATACCATTTGCGAACTTCAAATACCAAATTTGTGAAAATGTCGCTAAAATCATCAAAATAGCGAATATTGGGAGATGCCGTTATATGGGAGC